CTAATGTATGCGAAGGAGAAGTGTCTACAACTATTGCCCCTCTATTGAAATGAACCTCAGTCTGTGAGAAGAAAGATAAGATTCAACAACTAACAGTGCTAATGCATGCCATCGTATTTGGTAGATATAGAGTCTTTTAATATTTTAATGAAGTTGTATTTTCATTGTGTAATTTGTTCGTCTGAGGGTTTATATTTGATGTTATGCTTAAATGTGCAATAATACTGACGCGCATCAAAATTGTGCAACTTGTTGTTCGCTTACCACTCTCTGCGCAACATATATTCTTTGTTGTAGAAAATCAAAGCTCTTTCAAATCAAATGGAAATATTATTCATCGTGGAAATTGCAATAAACGATACCTATTCGTTTGTCTAACGATTAAGGGTCATTTGTAGAAGAACCGTAACGTTTCGACTGCAAACTGCTAGTCTTCATCGAGTGATAGTGTAGACTGGATGGTGTGTCTGTTATATGCACACATCGGAACATCTGTGCTGTGATTGGCTTGCCGGTTTGTGTTGAGATTGGCTGTTTGGTTGTTGCGCCTCCGAAAGAAAACATGCTGCTTGCGTAGTAATAAGAACAACATTTGCTCTTCAACTTAACTTAAAACAAAGAAACTTTGCCCAACATTTTGACATCTTAGATTAATATGGCAAAATCCAATAACAGCAGTCCAATTATCATCATCAGTCATTAGAATGATCTAATTGAACATTAACACCAGTGCTCTACTAAAGCTACATTATTTATGAATCGATGCACATAAACTTTACTTTTACTAAAAAAATAATACTAACGCAATGGAATAATTTTTCAACTCACCATCAATCTTTCATTTGGTAGAGGTTGCTTAGGGGTCAGTAGACCGGCACACATCAAATTACTAACAATATCACAGAGACTTTGCTTGTAACGTCTGTGAAAATTAACGAAAAGGTGCAATACCGTGTCACAAAAAGTCGAACAATTTGGGTAAGCGTGCGGGCTTATTTGGTAATATATGCTGGCACCAAAGCAAAAAGTTCATAGTCTAAGCCTCTATATAATCTCTCAAAATTGCTAATCTGTGTATTTTAGCTTTAGCTTTGTTTGTACTAACCCTTTATATTTCAGTAGTCTTTGCATCTTATTTGGTAGATCTTTAAAAAGCGTATGTCTTAGTTTTGGGTCGTTGTAATATTCATCAAGACCATCAACCTAAGGAAAAAAGAGCATAATAGGAGTTTAATGGCAGCCATATTGTAGGACAACGCAGAGTTTTTCTCCTTTGAGAAAACATAGTTAATTGAGGTGAAATGAAGTGTAAATTGTTGTTGTCCTTCACCATGGCTGCCATACATAATACCCCCACTATTCAAGTAATAGCTGWACTGGTTTTATTGCTACACAATACCCTTGGCTTCAGAAGTTCTATCACCCGGTGGTTCGCACTTGTTGATTAGATTTCATGATTATCCCAGTAATGCAACGTGGAGGACCTTGGGTGCTAGCTGGTGTTATGTTGCTTAATCGGTAAAACTAAATGTCATGGTTTTATCTTGCATTCTTGAAGCAGCCCAAAGGGAACCCTTGCTACTTGTTTTCTTCTCTCAGCACAGTAGTGTGGCAAGTGGTAGCTAAGATTGGACAAGGTAAGCGCACRCGTCCCTCACCTCTAAAGCCACAGCCCTCACCCGCAAAAAATGGAGTCGGAATTGGAGTCTAGATCATGCCAAAAACTGAATCAGAAGAACCAGAAGGCCTACTTTTCCTCAGCTTGTGCTTACACCTATGACGAAAGGTTTTCACTTGTAATTTCACGCATAAACTGCTTCCAACTCTGACTCCAATTCTGTCTCCGATTCCGTCACAAGTGATAACAAGGCTTGATACTCAATAAATATTAACTGTACCTCTGTGACAATACCCATGATGTTACAGAACACAGACAGCGGCATAATAGAAGTAGCATCACTCAGTTTGAACCAGCCTAACGGCATGTCATATAAAGCAAATGGTTCCAGGTATTGAATCCAGTCATAATCATGAGTTTTGGAATCAAATTCACCCGAGCTCAACTTTTCTTTTTTGACTTCACTTGTTTTACTCTCTTTTTTTACAGATCCAGCGTCCGCAGATCCAGAAGACTTGGGTTTGGATTTTTYTTGATTTCTTTCTTTGATGCCAAAGATCACCTGCCACAGATATTCATGGAGGAGGCGCATGCGCGGGAACTTGGCTAGGTAACCATATCTATACCTTAAGCTCTGAAATAGTAAGTATCATATGGATGTGAAATGAAGCGTGGATGGTAATAAAGGGCTCTTGGTAATAAAGGATGGATGGATAAATGAATGGATGGTTAGATGAATCAATGGATGAATTAATGAATAATTGGATGGATGAATAGATGAATGGACGGACGGACGGACGGACGGACAAACGGACGGACGGACAAACGGACGGACGGACGGACGGACGGACGGACGGACGGACGGGCGGATGGATGGACGGATTAATGGATGAACGCACAAGCGAATGAAAGGATGGATTGGCAGATGAAAAATGTAAAAGGTGAAAAGGAATCTATGATAGCTAGGTGACTGGAAGGATGATTAACAATTAACCCTATTATTCAAGTAAAAAACTAAACAAAGCGGGCGGCGGACTTAGCGAAAGTCTAATTTGGCCCTTTCAAGGAAAAGAAAAAAAATTAAGGATGCTAAAGTCTGAGATCTGCCACTAAACCTACATGATCTGAGATAATCTTGTCTGGATCACAGTCTTCATCCTCGACTTCATCTTCCTCTTTGTGTCCATCAGTTTCTGTCTTGGTTCTCTTTTTACTTGGAGCCTACACAACGAACACAACAGAAATCAGAAGAGATAACTAGCTAAAAACTAGTGTGAGCTGCGTCGGTGTTTCTAATGAAACAGTAATGATGAAAAGGTAAATTATACACCGTGAAAAGGTGAAGGAACTGACGTTTCGGACGCTAGGCCTTCGTCGGAGTAAAAGAGCAGAAATCAATGCATTCATCGTTTTTCTTAGGAAAGCATTAAGGCCCCATTACTCTACTAATAGTAACTAACGATTCAACTTTCTAACTAATAGACCGTTTTCTCAAGGTTGCGTGCGCATCCAACTTGACGGGCCACAATACTGAAAAACACAATTCAGTAAAATAGAATAAAATAGAATCAGTTCTTATAAAATAAATAAATAAAAAATCATAGAAATGTATGATAATTCTAGTTATAAACCTCCTGTTCTGGTTTCGTGGCCTGTCATGTTCCTTAAATTTGGATGCGCACGCAACCTTGAGAAAACGGTCTAATTCCAACTCAAAAGTAGGTGTTTGTAAACGGTAGGGAAACTAGAGAACCCAGAGCACCACATCAAACATACTCTATTCACTTTTGCCGTCTAAAGGAATCGAACCCATGGCCTTTAGGACCTGTAGAACTCAGATTGGTTTTACCACTACACCACCCTTGCTCACCAAATAAAAGAGAAAGAAAGAATAAAATATGAAAAAATCATGTAATATTCATTTTACATAGGGTTATCATCCAGTGGAACTCCATACCTTTGATTTGTTTGCCTCTCCATATATTCTAAATCGGCATTGATCAATAGCAACTTTCACAACTGAGTCTTGAGGGCTGACTGATATGTCTAGATAGAATTCAACCTGTAATATAAAATGATAACAAATGATCTGGAAATAACTGAATTCAAAAAATTCCAAGGACTGACAAAATTGAAAGAGGCCGAGAGGCTGAAATTCTTTAATCCAATTATTTCCAAATTGGACAGCATGTAGTCCTATTACCTATACTTATTATGACTGTATGGTGTATATGATGGAGATCATTTAATTGATGATGACCTGCATGCTTCACCTAGGAACCATTGCATGGGGGTAAAACCTATCCAGCTAAATTACAATTGGATCTTTTAGCTGTACCCTGACTTTGATCAGTCCAGAGTTTTTTAAAGGCATAGACAAAAAAGGGTTTTTGGTGAAGGTTGAAGGCGCCAATTGGTGAACGTGGTGTTGAGTGTTGTTGATGGTGATGGTGATAGTTGTGGTGGTGGTGATGGTGGTGTTGATGGTGATGGTGATGTAGGTGTTGATGGTGATGGTGGTGTTGGATAATGAAGATAGGGATGCATAGTGATTCCCTTCCCCCCCCCCCCCCCCCCCCCAAAAACACCACAAAAACGGACGATCTCTAAAGAGATGATGACAAGGCCTGACAACTCTAATACTTACATTATGGCTGGTTTCATTGATGTTAATAACAGTAGCCATTCTCTTGATTAGTCCATCATCAAGTAGTTTAGCAAGAGACCTGTGTAGAACAGAAGGACTTGACATAATTAGGTACCTGTCATGATCACAACTCACAAAAGGCATGAGAAATCCTACTTATACCTTTTTAGACAAACACGATCCATCTTGCTTTCCAAACCTTCCTTTTCCTCAGCTTCTTGGATAGCCTACCGATAAGGGATACATAATGGACCTCTTTAACTTGGGCCTAATGTTTTCTCATTTCATACCACGTGTCATTCTCTAGAGTATCATTTCTTTGTTTAATGGTTTTGGAGTATACAGTAGAACTCTTTAGTTTGAGCGTAATGTTTTCTCATTTCATACCACGTGTCATTCTGTAGAGTATCATTTCTTTGTTTGATGGTTTTGGGGTATACAGTAGACCTCTTTAGCTTGAGCGTAATGTTTTCTCATTTCAGCCCACGTAACATTCTCTAGAGTATCATTTCTTTGTTTGATGGTTTTGGGGTATAAACATCTTTAGCTTAGGCATAATGTTTTCTCATTTCAGACCATACGTCATTCCCTAGAGCATCATTTCTTTGTTTAATGGTCGTACATAAGGAGACACATTAATATGGATACAACTCAAACAAATAATTTTATTCTCAAGAGAATGACATGTTGTCTGTAATGGGAAAACATTACGCCCAAGATAAGAGGTATATTAGCAAGAGTATGAATGAATATGAAATCACTTCTAGTGAAAGATGCCAACCCAGAAGTCCTGCCCCACTCCAGCAAATGCCATTATTTAATTTTACTTTATAAAATAATTGGGATACTACGCGCGCTATGATTGGTCGAAAACCATGTTTGATTTAATGTATCAAAACACGCTGTTGTCATTTAGCGCGCACGAGTATTGCAACTGTCAGATTTTAATCTATCGCGACCGCTCATTGGTCAGTTTGAATAAGACGGCACGTAAGGAGAATTTACTTATACTTTGCTTTTTTTCGATCTTTTCGCGCGTTTTTTATTCTATTCAACAGATCAAAATTTAAAACAGTTTTCCGTGTTTGATACTCTGATCAAAACACTCGAGATGTTGGGAGAACACTCGAGAAGCTGGAAACCACTCCGCATAATCTGTTAATAAAAGTGAGGTCTAATTAATCTTACCTTAAGTATTGGGAGATATCCCTTGACAACCTTTTTTTTTTTCAGAAAGTCAATGATAAAGTTGTTCCTCTTCAGTGTTCGATAAGTTACCTTACCAGCTATAGGTACAAAGGGAAAAAGTTCACATTGTGAAAATCTCATATATTTAACAAGACAGCTTAAAATTCAAAATTCTTGGCCTTGTTCAGTAATAAAGCATGCAGTGTCAAGAGAAGCACCAGCCATATGGGCGAGAGAAAAAGTCTTATCGTATGATATGATTTAGATCAAAATTGTTGGTAGTTTTTGATGCTGTTTTCTCATAATTCTTTGCAAAGTTTGATGCTTGCATGGATTGTGTCACTGTGCTCCATTCACTAGATGAAGCACAGTTCTCAACCAATCAGGGTGTGAGTACTATTCAAGTTTATGATAAAGATTAACAGAAATGATAAATTACTAACCAAGAGCAGACTTGGACTTTGGTTTCTTTTCCTCCATGGTTGTATCTTTGATTTCTGCATTTACATGTCCAAAATAATGATATTACTGCTGCTACCAACAACATAGCATCAATGAAATTCTTTGTACATAATACAGTGCTCTTACTAACAGCTTAGAATAGACTAATATATATAAAAGATAGGGAATAGGTGAGAGGCGATAGGCAATAGGTGATAGGCAATAGGTGATAGCCAATAGGTGATAGATAGCTCTGGCAATAGGATAGTAGATAGGTCATTACAGATCAAAGAATATCTGGAATGACTTGCATTCCTCATTTTTATTATCATCAAGAACACAGAGGTTAGTGTCGATATATCCGACACTCCGCCTACGGCCTCATCCAATTTTGGAAGTCCTCAGAATTTTCAAGTCTAATTATTTCTTGATTGGGGAGCATGAAATCCCATTACCTATTAATTATATAGCTGCCTCATTAATCCCATATCAACAAGACCTGTCCAATTAAGAAAATAATTGGACAGTTACCTATACGGGATTAATGAGAAGCTGTATAATTATATAGTATTATTAGCAATTATGACATCTTCTTACCCGTATTTTCTGTGGATTGTGTGGACTGGCCAGGTGAAGGGCAGGGAGAGTCTAACGGTGTCTGAGAGGGAGTCCCCACTGAAGGAGAAGTTTTMCCAGTACCAGCAAAAGTTTTCATGGCATCCAACTTTTTTTCCTCTGCAAGTAACTTTGATAAATGGGTACTGGCTTCTTCATATGGAGTTGCAACATATCTGAAAAGAAAAAATATTAGATAAATATATTTGCTTAATTTTTAGGAACACCCTTGAAAAAAGGGGGAGTGTGAGCCAAAGTACTACATTTTTTCAAACAAAAAAAAAAACATTTTCAAAATTACATGATCACTGCAGCCCAAGGTGTCTGGTTTTGGCTTACATCAATCAAATACATACTAACTCAAACTGGTGGAAGTGTGATGGACGGATGGAAGCCACACACCCCCACATCACAATTGATTAGCCACTTGTTTTGGAGATGTGTAATATAAAGAAAATTGGTATAAAACTAGACAAAATAGTTAAAATAGAATGTACCTTAAGAATGACTGCCGTCCACCATAAGTCAAAACTGGCTTGATATAACCTGATTTTTCAAGGTTATTCACCAGGGCACGACGTTCATAATGAGAAATCTTTAGGGCCTTGTCAATGTCCTGTAAAGAGACTGACTTAGTAGGAGTGTTGCAATTAATGGTTAAATAAAACTTAAGTACTTAATAGAATAATTGAGTTCAACAACAATTTTGGTTTATAATGATCCATGCAATAAGTAATACTGTTGAAAGCAAATGCTGATTGGTAAAGACAATGGACATAGCAAATGAATATGAACAGCTGTCTTGCTTTACCACTCATTTCATTGCCACAAGCTACACATGTTGCAACATGTTCATCAGCAGTACACTACTGTCAAACAGTAAGAGTATGGTTCGGACCTTGTAGTTTTATGTACTATAACTGAAGAAATAGAAAACGTGCACGCATGCTGTGCGCAGTCATAAAGCACGCGGGGACTGGCAGAACATGAGAGAAGTGTTCGGAGAAGCACGACGCGTAACGGAGTGCTTCTGGACACTTCTTGAGTGTTCTGCCAATCCCCAAGTGCTTTATAAGGGCACACAGCACAGCAAGCACGTTTCTTATTTCTTTTATGAAATACAAATTACAATAACCGTTATTTTAGATAGGAATGACGCAATGGAAAGTGCGCACGCATACAATTATTATAACAGTTATTTTATAAAATTATTTATCTGATAGATGGTATGGAGATAATCCTGTTGCACCATGTGTTTAAATAAGTGAGAATCAATAAATTACATGTATGGAAGCAGTGATAAAATCTGTCTTATCCAACACAGTGTTGATTCTAGGAATATTTTGGGAGGCATAGGGGATAAAGTCTGAAAGTTTAAAAAAATCCATACTACTTTTGAGACATTAAGTCCAAATTTTGTTTGAATAGATAGAGTATGCCCTTGGACACCAGGCCCCTCTGCCTTTGGTGGTGGAAATGATAAACAATATGGCCCCCAAATCAGTGTCAGCAAAGTCTTGGTAGATTGTGAGTGGACTATTGGTAGAGTGAAGGCAGGTTGTCAGTAGTACTGTATATTGGTAGGTGGACAATGCGGCTTTGGCCATAGCCTACTGACATTTATTCAGGGGTCATATTTTTTACTATTACCATCAGTGGTCACCAGTGGTAGCTTAGTCAAACACCCCCTTCTGCATTTAACCCTTAAATATATTTAGACATCTGCCATCTGTACCATATTTCGTATTCCATGTTCAGCTTTACTTTCAATGAAGTCGTACATTTGCTTCAAAAGAGAAAACTCAACCACCAAATTAGGGTTGCCATCTGTAGAAAAATTAGAGCACCCATCATTTGACCATGCTTTCAGACACAATTTACTAAAATAAAGGGGATTTAAGGAGGCTGGATGGTGTTTTGTATCTTCACATACATTCACAATTATTGTCAAGGAAGTTGGCAATTGAAACATTACGGAAGTGCGTCATTTCTTTTGTTCCAAACAGGTTTTCACACATTACACTCCATAAAAGGTAGTTTAAAATGTTTCTTTTTACTGGATTTGAAAAACCTGTTATACCRGAATTTTGTGTAAATGTATCTTCAAACGAAGTTAGTRTTGTTTTTGAGGCCTGTGCTAATTTTTAGGCGTGGGAACCGCTATCTCTTATTGGTTAATAACTTGAACTAAAAGGAACTGGAATTTAGAAGATGATTTTTGCAGAGGGAAGAAAACCAAAGAAACCCAGATAAAAACCCTTAAAACACAAAAATAGTTTTACTCAGATATCACACTGAGCCTGGCAGGACTCACACCCAGGTCACATTGGTGAGAGGTGAACACTTCCCCCTACTAAAATGAGGCCAAATCCTGTCACAACATACCACAAATCTGAATGTTATCATCATCATCATCATCTTCCTCATCATCATCGTCATCATCATTATCATCTTGTTTGCCATYAGGAAGAGGAAAAGGCTTAATGACTTTAATATAGTGTCTGAGGTTTCCTCTATTTGGTCTAGTTTTGTTTGTCTTTGCTATGCTTGGAACCCTTTTCATTACTATTTCTATATGACCTGAAGTTTGAAGGTATTGACGAACCCTCTTGAAGATGCGTTCTCTTGTTCCCTTTGGTTACAAAACATTCAAGATGAGAATAATTTTATTTTGAAATCTATCCAACGAGGCATTTCTAATCAATAATGCGATGAATCAATAGAAAAATGAAAGAAAAAGAAAAGAAGAAAGAGAGAGAGATGGATCGAGAAGAGGAAATGGATTGAAGGAGATGAATGGATGCAATGGCAAAAGACAAAGATAGGCAAGGGCAGATCCAGCCAAAATTTTAGGGGGGGCTAATTGAGTTTAAGGGGGGGCTAAATGAGTTTTTTCTGTCAATACAACGGAAAACAATATAAAAAAGTATCGTTTCCTCCTGGTGAAGGGGGGGCTTCAGCCCCCCTTTGTCCCCCCCCCCCCCCCCCCCCTAGCTCCCCTGGATCTGCACTTGATAGGACAAGAAAGGATATTACAAATGCAGTGGATGAATAAACAGAAGGGTAAAATGCTCAATAGAAAAAAACAAAAACAAAGGAGGATAGATATGTGGTAATTGGATCAAATGATGGATGAGTAGAGTGGACAGATAAACAGTGATAAAAAAGAATGAATAGCTAAAAAAACATAGCTGCTCGATAATGGCAATTTATCATAATGTCTATTTATTGAAAGAAATTAGAAGTCTAGAAAAAGTTTACTTACGCTTTCTTCACAAAATATCCTAAGGTCTTTCAGTGCCATTGTGTGGTCTGGTTGTTCCAGCAGTTTTTGACATATCTGATGTCCCAACACATCATATTTGTGGTAGTAGGGGGAGTGAAATTTCTTGAGTTTTATAATGTTGGAGCAAATGTTCGTTGAAAGCATATTATGTGCAACAAATTTCTGTAAACAAAAATCACTATAAGAATGCTCTCGAAATATGATGACCAATTTATATAACTATTGTACTGGACTGGCTAGGCTTGTGTTCATGAGGAAACATAAAGGCATTTTTACAACAAAACAAATGGTTAGACCTTCAAGTCTTTTTGGACAAGGACTTAAAACTGAGGCCATGTCTCCTAACCCTTCCTAACCTACAGTAATTTGGGGACATAAAAGAACCTGTTGAATTATTTGTGTAAGAGTAGGGGATTGTCTTCCGGTTCAACAGCCTATCCCAATTTGGAGGCATAATACTAATCTACTAACAATTCACACTCATGATTGTAAGCTGCATCGTTGATATAGCGCCTTAATACGCAGCCCCTAAAGTCCTCCACTGGTTATAAAAAGTGAAGCGCATCGAGATATTTGAAATGCGCTATATAAGAACCCCATTATTATTATTATCATTATTAGTCAATCCAGAAAAAATAGTTGGTGCATAATAACAGCTCTGATCTACTGTAATGTAACCTACCCACCACATCCCAAAAAGTGTATTCTTCTATAAGCCTAGCTAATGATCACACCTGTTTTGTTACAAGACCAATCTTGCCCATCTTCTTCAAGAAATGAAAAGTTGTTTTAGAATCTATTTTCAGGAAGATATTGATACATCGTTGCAGTCGTCCTTTGTTTCTTGCCTGACCCACATGCTCCAGGATACAGTATTCTACGTCACTCAAGACTACATTAGGATCAACATCCTCTGGCACCAGAACTCTATTTCTTATGTCCTGTGATGCAACCATCACAAGCCTGTCTCCAAACCTAAATCAATCACATAAGGGATGGACATTATAATTTTTACACAATTAATCTTAATGATTCTGCTGGGCATTAAAGTTTTTCAGGTCCCACCCCACCATAATATGAAATGTTTAGGGACTGGTCATAAAGTAAGTGGGGGGAGGGGGGTGGGGGTAAAACTGGATTTGAAGGAGTTCTTTTTTGCTAGCCCAGTATAAAACAGGGTTGAAAAAATGATAGCCCCCCTAAGTTTCCATGCAAGAAATGAAAAAATGATTAAAGTAAAATAAAAAGACCCACCCTTACTTTATAATAAATTTTAAAGGCAGCCAACCCCTTTTAAAAATTGTGTGACCCACCCCCTGGTTTTACTCCCTCACCCCTCCTCCCCTTTGCTTTATGACCAGTCCCCTATGGCTCTAAATAGGGCATAACATAATGGCCGGTCACTGTCAATGTCCAGTCAAAGTTRGAACTTGTCTGGTTTAAAGCCTCTTATGTGTCCATGCCACTTGACTGTTCACAGTGACTGGTCAAATGTTGATCAGCCTGCCAGGCAGCCATCATGTCTGCCCATTGAGTAGCCATTCTTTTTCAAACTGCTAAGGTATTACTCTAACATAATTATTCAAATGATTCCTTTTAAGTACCTTTTTTGTGCTTCTTCAAGAGTTATAACACACTGTCCTGATGCACTTCTTATTTCAGATGTCACATCTTTTCTATTTTTATATTCAGGACAAGATCCTCTTATCTTGCCATCATTAACCAAACTGTAATGGCTCATGGCCACATCAATATTATGCTCCTTAGAAAGTTAAAGGTAAGCAATTAAAGGATGTCATGATCAGTAAGGTTGTAAGTAAGGTGTTGGTTGAGTATTGGTATCACATCATCAATAGGTGGCCGTTCAATGAATTTAGTCTTTTGTTTGATAAATGTATCTAAATTGCCAACTAGGAATCTATTGGATATTCCATCAAAGCAAAGTGTCAAAAGCTATTGTTAAAATGGTTGGCACATCAAGATCCCAATGGCGATGTCTATAAACATTATGTCCACCTATAGGTTGTTGGTAGAGTGCTAAGAGGTTGCAATCTTTACTATAACAAACTCTTTACAATGCTAACAATCACATGCAAGAGGAAGAAAAAAAACACAACAAAATATGGTTTTGGTGAAACTCAATCAAAGGGTTTCCATGACACATTATTGGAAAGTACAAATGTGTTGAAATGTCATAGAAATGCCTTGATTGATGTCTACCAAAGTCTACTTGGTCTTGACAATAAGTATGTAGTTATAGGTGATATATGTACAAGCTTTCATAAATAATGCATACTTCTAGATCCAAATTTTTGCAGCTATCCAGGAATTTCTTCATGCTTTTATCCTCAATACTGGAGAAGATACGAGGAAGTGGTTGGTCCAGTAAGTAGAAAGAAACATCAAGCGCCTCTACTATTCCTGTCCATAAGTAGCTCTTGGCAGAGTCATCCAGCTTAAGTGGAAATGGGAATGATGTCTTCTCTAGGTCATTCCACAGCTGAACTATTGGGCAGCCTGGAATGAAAGTAACTATGGTTATAAAGTAACTGTAAGCTATAAATCTTGATTTCTGATTGGTTGCTGCGCGTGCATTATGATCAGGGTGACCAGCACACAGCATGTGTAAACTTTTTATTTCATAATTCATATAAAATGAAACAGCGAATCTTGCTTTCTAATTGGCTGGGGTTCCATGCTTCATAAGGTTGACACAGCATGTGTATGTTGACATTGGCATGAAATTAGAAAGACTCTTCTTGGAATATATAACAGAAATTAAGAAGTACTAGCTTGGGGATTGGAAGAACGCTCAAGAAGTGTTGGGAAGCACTCTCCTACATGTCATACTCATTTCTCAACATCTTGCATAACAACTCTCTCGTGTTAACCATGTACGTTCTCCCAGCTTATATTGGCTGGAACGAGATGATGGAGCCAACAAAATTATCAAAAAGGTGGTAAATTTGAAAACCAGACTACCATGTTCTGATTCAAGCAAGATTCAAGCTACTCCATACATACCTTCCAGCCCCTCCAGTGCTATTTCCTCTGCACAAACGAGAAGAGCATCCATAGCTATTCTAAACTCGGCAAAAAATGGCTAGCATTTTAAATTTTAAGTCATGATTTTCAATATTTTCTTGCGAGGAATGAAGAAAATCTTCAGTGTTTTCTTCTCATTCACTAGTATAGTAGTACCTAGTTCTCCCCGGATCCCTCGGGGGGCCTGGTTTTAATGGTTTGTTTTCTTTTTGACTGCGTGGTTCGATTCGGTAAAGGTGAAATTTTATTTGATTTTAATAATATTTTTAGTGGATAAAAGAAGCCCGATTTCTGATATATTAAAGGTGAGCTATCCATGTGCCATACGTACGACTTAGATGGTCATTTGGATGATTGTGAAGCGGTTTTTGATGTTTGTAATGTTTACATACGCATGAAGGTGGCTGGATGTAAGCTTAAGCTGGATTATTTTTGATCATGTAATTTTAGTGTCTTTACAGTAAAACTGTAATTTTTTAACGCAAAGTATCATACAACATGCAATTCATTAAAATAGATAGCAAAAAGAAATTTGCGTTTATTCTCATAAAACTGGCAACGCTAGCAACACAGCTGACAGAGCAAACGAGGTGCTTAAAAATGTCAACAGTGATTATTTTACATGTAATTCCCCGTTTGAAATTATCATAGAGTGCAAACAATATAACCGTGAAACTTTAGTAATACTAAATAGCACAATTTCATGCAAATTCAATTGTTTTCTATTGTTTAATTAGCTCTATTTTGTACTATTTAGTAAATAGTGTTTCACGGATATATTGTTTGCACTCTAGCACAGCTTCATAAAATTAAAATGATGGTTAAACATGCTGTAGCAACTGTTCCGACACTATGGCATTTCAGCATCTCAAATAGTCGCATTTGTTTGCCTACTAAATATATTTAACTTAATGCATTTTCCTGTGTATTTTACTAAATGGTACTATAGTAAAGRAAGAAATGATATTCAATAAACTCTAAAAGTGTCATGAATTGTAAAAGAAAAATATTATTCATAATATATATGTATATGACTTTTGAACGAGTTCTTGAACAATTTCTGTATCATTGTATATCATTACATTAATGCAAAAATTCTTTTCCAGATTAATTTAGAATATTATAGAGGATCCCTCAAGGACATCCAAGGGTTTCTTAATGCGTAGAATTGGATTATGGGAACATTAACACCAGTTAAGTCCACCAAGTGCGACAGCCGTGACTTTGTCACAGATGGTCATGCCAAAGACATTCTTAAGTCAGTTAATATACTCCGAAAGAACAATAAGTTATGTGACGTCATTCTTCAAGTTGAGAACAAAGACTTCCCTGCCCACAGAATTGTGTTAGCAGCTTGCAGTGATTATTTTTGTGCAATGTTTACAAGTGATATGCAAGAGAGTCAGAAGCCTGTTGTAGTGCTACAAGGCCTGACTGCAGAAACAATGGAAGTTCTCCTTGATTTTGTTTATACTGAAACAGTTAAAGTAAGTGTTGAGAATGTTCAAGCACTATTACCTGCAGCATGCCTTCTGCAACTTACAGGTAAGGACTGTCAAATCTCTTAATTTGAAGCCTAGGGGTGCTAAGGGAATGGTCAATATTTACAGTAGGGGAAGGGGTTGATTCATAAATTTAGTGGATACCAGGTTATAGATTTTTGGGAGGTACCAAAGGAGGGATTGTGGAAAAAGCGTTTATTGGTAAAGAAGGGGCTACATATTTTCCAATAAAACAATTCAAGAGGGGTTAAAAATGCTACTATGCATACTGTAAGATGGCTGACAGGGTTGGACCCAGCCAAAACTATAAGGAAGGGGGGGGGGGGCTTGACTGAATTTTGCTTGACTTGTAAAGAAAGCTCATTTACTCTAAATTAATAGCTCCCCTTTGTACACCCCTGGATCTGCCACTGGGCTGGGTGTTTATACGTCAATTCATTTGTTTGAAATTGAAAAATCATCCTCCTCATCCCCAACTTTAGACAATTACCATTCCCTAATGATTGACCTTTAACATTAATATAAATGTTGAATTTATACTACAGAATATTTCAAAAATGGTCAGTTTAGCTAGTGATCTCTTATGTTTATACTGCAGGTGTTCAAAAAGCATGTTGTGAGTTTCTAGAACACCAACTTGATCCTTCCAATTGTCTTGGAATTAGAGGCTTTGCTGAGACTCATGGTTGTAAAGAACTTCAATTGGCAGCGGAGAATTTCATTCATAAGCATTTCATGGAAATCATCAAAAGTGAAGAGTTTATGCAGCTTGATGCTAAGGACATAATCAGCTTGATCCAGTGTGATAAACTAACAGTAAGTTATAGGAATATGTTATGGAATACGGATGTCAATCAAAGTGTTTTCCATAACACAAAGTTTTCAGGGGCATGTCCCTATGGAATACCATAGGAATGAACTCCTTGATTCCTCTTTTACTCCATCGAAGGACTAGCGTATTGTTGGCATGTTGCTGTAATTGATAGTGGAAATCCTGCATGTGACTATCAAGCATTGTTGCTTGTGCAATGTAACTAGATGTGTATATTAATTTCAATCCTTCTGCATAAAGCATTTATTATAAACTTTTACCCAAAACTGTTTTATCAAGGTACCTTCTGAAGAAACTGTATTTGAGTCTGTCTTAAACTGGATCAAACATGAAGAAGACCTGAGGATAGATAACCTACCTGAAATGCTTGAGATTGTCCGTCTTCCCTTGCTTACCCCACGGTACTTGACAGATGTGGTTGATAATGAGGTGTGTAAAATATATGCTTAACTTATTAAATTTACAACCTACCTAATGTGTCCCTGAAGTCTCATATGAGATTTGGTAGCTCAGTGGTTAGAGCATATCACTAAAATCCCCAGGGCACGTGCTCAAATCCTGTTCAAGACTCTTCAATTTGTAGCAGCATAAGTTGCTTGATAATACTGCGAAGGACAGCTCAATTTGATACATTACAACCGCAGTACAATATTTCATATATATACACATACACATATATTTCCTATCAGCTGAATCATAATAGAATAGTGATACTATGATCATCATTGTCAAGAACAATGCCACAGCTGCAGTCAAAACGTCATGTTTTATAAGCAATTCAAATGCGTGAAAGCGTAGTCCCTTTTTTCATCTTGAATACCTCATGCGGAAGCCCAAAATCTACTAGTGATACTTCATGCTTACTAACATAATAATATGACCATCAAAAAAAATTGATCAAAATTTTTCTGATTTTTTTTCTATTTTCCATTCGATTTCCTATATGAACCATTGTGATGTTAATATGCCAACCATTTTCCCAAAAACTCATCATAAGTTGCTTTAGGTGCCGTTAATACGCCAGGGCAGTGATACAAATTTTGATGGTTGCGCAAAGTAGAAACTCTCTCTTCTCTTTGCAACGATGAAATCATGAAAAGTTGTTGCGCACGGATCGATTGGTAATACAAGCAACATTTGCTCTGCAATTTGCAACGCAACAATGTTGCACGACAAGTTGCGCGATTTTGTTGCCCGTATTACAACACCTTTAACTTTTATTGTTGTTTTTTTTCTCCAGAAACTGATAAAACAAAGTCTTGAATGCAGAGATTTGGTAGATGAAGCTAAAAAGTACCATTTGAGGCCAGAATGTCGACATCTGTTACAGACACCGCGTACTAAGGCTAGATATGGCATGGGTGAGATAATGTATGTGTTGGGAGGATTTGGTAACATGCAGTCTCCTGTGGATGTTGTGGAGAAATTTGATCCCAAGACTGGACAATGGTCTCATGTACAGGTATGTAGAAGAGTTATCTATTATCATCATTCATCAATATATCAACGATTAAATATATTTATCAGGGGCGGATCCAGGAATTTGTTCAGGGAGGGGTGCAGCGCACATGGTTAACCCAGGGAGGGGTGCACTCTTTAGAATCAAAGGGAAAAAACATAATTATGTATTGGTTAAATCTTTGAAGTAGGGGCACAAAGTTGAACCAGGGAGGGGTGCGCACCCCCTGCACCCCTCCCCTGGATCCGCCACTGTTTATGGTTCATACTGAAAGTCCTTTTCCCACTTTACTACCATTATCGTTGAAGTGCGACCCATAAAGTTCAATTTCTCTTTTGCCCACTAGCATTTCAATGACCGTCAATCAAAGAACTGAATGAAAAGAACAATATATTGAGGGTGATTTTAGATTGAATTAAAGATTTTAATACTCTAATCCTCTAAAATCTTTAATTCAGTCCAAAATTTACCTCAAGATATTGCTTTTTTATTTCATTTCTTTGATTGATGGTCGTTGAAATTCTAGTCGGCACACGAGACATTGGACTTCACGGGTCGCACTTCAACGATAATGGTAGTAAAACAGATTGTACTTCTTTCTTCAGTCAATGGGAAGAAAGCGTCGATATCTCTGTTCAGTTGCTCTTGGCAACAAGCTTTATGCTCTCGGGGGATACGACGCGTCAAGTCGATTAAACACCGTAGAATGTTATGACCCAGTGGTGGATCAGTGGACCACAGTTACGCCAATGTTACAGAAACGAGGTCTTGCAGGGGCAGCCACATTAGACGGTAAGCATTGGATGGGGGGTTCGTGGACTTTGAAGCTAGTTGCTTGATAAGTTGCTTGATATACTGCAACGATCAGCTCACTTGGATACATTACAACCGCAGTACAAATATGTAGTGCACATATATTCCATTTTTATCAGATTTTTTTTTTGGAGTTTGAAATTCCTTGGTTTTTCTTATACTCCAAAGGTAAGATCTTTGTTTCTGGTGGCTTTGATGGTACTGTTCGACACACCAGCGTCGAGTGCTACGACCCTAATATCGATCGATGGACTGTTGCGAGTAACATGCTCTCTCCCCGTGAAGGTGCAGGACTAACCAACATGGATGGTATTCTCTACTCGGTCGGTGGGTACGATGGTGACACTATACTTAATACTGTAGAGCGGTATGATCCAAGAACGGGACGATGGACAGCTGTGTCATCCATGGCTACCAGGAGATCAGGTATGCATAGCTGGGTGTTTTACTGTTTTATCCGTGTAAATAATGTTCTAATGTTTCGTAGCTCATCAGATTTATTGGATTTCGATAAATGCGTAACCTTGATAAAATTTACGTGATTTTCACTCCTGCATCTCGAATCCACCCTTGTTCTATAGACCCCTAACCCCCCCCCCGACACGCTGCGCGACGATGCACGCAACCCTACGCCTTGCGCCGAGCTCTGGAGCTGTCAGTAGGTGCAACCTTRGGTAGTAGAATTACAATACTATAGTCCATCCTATATAGAATTGAGATCTACCTCTGTAACGTTGCGCTCACCAAAGTTTTAAAGTCCTGCGACGTTGCTGGTAATAACGTGATGCTCTCACCCAATGAAATGCGCCGTATTTTTCCACCGTTTTGCGTTGCCAGGATGGATGCGAAGTGTGAGTAGCTTTCCTCGATTCATAGTTGTTCCATGAAAAGTTAGTACGTGTGATGTCCCTCGAAAATTTGCGCCAACACAGTTACGGTCAACAACTGCACCGTGTATCTGGATCTGGATCTGGTTACCTGCTGCTCAATGTGGGCAGAATCATGAAGCAAGTTGACTGATTATAAATTAAAACATTTTTGTTTCCAGGTGCTGGTGTTTCTATTCTTGATGGTCAACTCTACGCACTAGGAGGGTACGACGGCACCCAACACCTCTCCACAGTTGAGTGCTACAGCCCTTGCATGGATCAATGGGTATCCACGTCAGATATGCAGTCCAAGAGATGCTACGTTGGCGCTATAATCTTGAGTGGGAAACTGTACGCTGTAGGAGGCTACGATGGAATGACTTTGTTAGATTCCATCGAATGTTATGACCCAACAGCAAATGAATGGAGTACAATGTCTTCTATGGGAACTAGTAGATGTGATATGGGGGTAGCAGTGCTTATGGACCATTAACGAAGATTCTACGCTATTGGAGGAATAACTTCGTTAGCCGATTTCATCGAATGTTATGGTCAAGATGAATACAGTAGAGGAAAATATCCTGTGATGTGATACGGGGGTAAGCAGTACTTGTGGACCATAAAAACAGAGTCCTACGCTATAGAAGGACTAACGCTGTTAGCCGATTCCATCGAATGTTATGGTCAAGATGAATGGAGGAAAATGTCCTGATGGGAACTAGTAGATGTGATACGGGGGTAGTAGTACAGATATTTGACCAACAAGCAATACTTATCTTCAAAAATCAAACAGACCGTTAATGAATTTCTCCACAAAAATATGGATGTAATCTGAGCATATTTATTTTTGCATACCTTACTCACCTACAAATTGAAAARAAAAAAAGAAAAAATTAAAACAGTTTAACATAGTTTAAAATTTTTCAATCGTCAATTCTATAAGTAATATATATATAAATGCAATCCTACAACGAGATGTAATCCTATAATTAAAACGATAACTAGGCCTAATGGGCCAGACATTGTTACATATAGGGGTGATGAGAAACAGGCTCAGTACGTGCCAACTGTTCTCCTATAAACCAAAATAGAATTTTCAAATTCTTTTGACAGCTCCTAGATGCCTCTTGACTTTTTTCGTTACTGCGAATGCGATCTCTTTTTCCAAATAAGAAGCTTCGTTGATAAATGTCGGCCAAATGACCTCCTCTTCCTCATAGGTGATTGTCTGTCCACCAAAGGTCATGAACATTGGATCTCCTTTCTTGAGAGGTTTCCAATCCTGTTCCTCTAGTTTTGGATGAATCATAGCCGAGATATTCCCATTCTCGTCACATGGATACTTCACCATTTTTTTGCATTCAAACAATTCAATCTCTCTTTCTTGGAATTCTTTTCCATTGTTGAACGCTTCAATGATGTCTAAGGTTTTCGACACTACCGCAGCAGTTCGTTGAAAGACTTCAGACTTGACTGTTCCATGTGCCAATGGCCCAACTTCAATTCCTATGCCACTCTTCGTAAGACTAGTGAACCCACTATCTCTCTTGCCAAAAGCAAAACCCAACGAGAGAATAGAAACTGGAAAGTTAATCGCCTCTTTAATGGAAGCTGTGATTTGTAAACCTATCGTTGTGGCTGCCAAAGAAGTCAAAATCAACGTTACCCCCATGTTCGAAGTGGTGTTATGTAAATCAATGGAATAATCTACGTTGTTATCTGCGATCCACTTTTGAATCTCGCATGCTCTTTGAACTTCGTATTTGTCTTTATCTGGTGTGATTGGGTCGTGAGAGAACTGGCGATTAAGATCGACGTGTATGTACCTTACGCACTTTTCAATGGCGCGAGGGTTGCTCAAGAGAAGATGAGTCTTGAATGAACTTCGTTCAACCTCTGTCCTGGCTGTTGCATTGCTCATCCAGCGCCGCACGAGGTGGATTCCCGTCATCTCATTTCCATGGGTTCCTCCACTTATAGAAACATTAGAAAATGTCTTCACTCTTTCGGGTTTTGTTTCTGCCATCTACAAATAATAAATCGCGGGGTCACATTTATTGTTGTGAGTGTCTTATGCTTACTGATGAATGGAGTATTTGCTTAAGTCGATTATAGATAAATCTACTACTAAATGAATCCCTCTATTTTAAGCATGTTCCCCCATTTCAAACAAAAAGTTATTCGATGCATCCAAATTGATATAAATCTTCTTCAGTTTGATAAGATTCAACGCCTGTCCCGGCCTCCAAATCAGTGTATTTAGTTATCCATCTATCCCTCCCCTCCCCTTCCTCACCCTCACACACATACTACACATGCACGGCACTAGGGAAAGTGTTCTAAGCTCCTACCCCCCTTGATCATGCTAGATTTTGATATTGTTTGGATTCTAAATGCTGCCAGCGGAAGAGCAATTCGCTAATTTCATTGATAAATTATTTTAAAAAATTGTTGTATGATGCTATCTTTTAGCTAGTCTCCTACGCATGCAGCCGCTATTAGTGTAGCCACGCCACGCTCACTCGCTACTTAGGGAAGTGAGCGTTGCGTGACGACACTAATTTAAGCATTCCCAAGAGAGTCTTAAGAGACAAAAACATGGCGGCCATCGTGGTAGCGTTAACAATGGATGCTAATGAGAAGTCTTTTGTTAAATGGTACCAACACTGATGGCCGCGATGCATGACGTAACGTGCAATCGAAGAATAGCGGTGGGGGATAGAAGAGTTTAAAGTGCCAACAATATAACCGTGAAACTTTAGTAATACTAAATAGCACAATTTCATGCAAATTCCATTGTTTTCTATCGTTTAATAGCACTATTTYGTACTATTTAGCAATTAGTGTTTCACGGATTAATTGTTTGCACTAGCCAGTCCTGCATCATGATTTATCACACGGTCATGCTTGGCTTCCATGGTCGATTYCTGGTTTAAACCTATTTCATTAATATGACCACCATCGTCAGTTCGATCATTCCCTTGAGGATAACTATAAATCATCTATTGATGGGCTGCATGCATTCCCAATTAAGACAGTCAAAAGACAAAAACATGCAAGGCAGCCGTCTTGGTGCAAAATAAATTTAGATTCCAAACGCCAACTCATCATCCGGCCACGTACCTCAATAGATCTCATCTGTCTAGCGATATTTTTTTYCCCTAATAGCCATACTTGTAAACAATCAAGCTTAAAAGATATCCTTGGCTGTTAATTTCGTTAATCTATACTTACTTTGAGCAAGACTTCGTAGTTTGTTTTGGCTTTACAAACGCAAACACCCCGTGCTGATCCCCTACAGTCAACTATAAATATTAATCTAATACCTTCAAGGTCAAAGGGTACGTAACTTGGATCCGCAACCTAACGCAACAGCAGAGTGGGATCAGCTAGGATTTGCCTTTTTTGGCTGGAAAAATGGGATTTTATGCACCGGTAATGGGATTCAATAACAAAACAAAACAAAAACAAAACAAAACAAAAAAAACAAGAAATGGGATTGAGATTTGAGCGAAGCACGCTATGTACACAAGTAGATTTTTAATTTTCTTTTGAAAGCTCTTCGATATAACTTCTAGACCTTTAGTTCTTCGTATATGTTGTTCCATATTCCAACTGCTTTGTAACTACGCTGTCCAGAATTTGTTTTACATTCCTCAATAAACTTTTAGATTTTAGGTTTTAGATAAGAGATTTATTTCAATTAGTTTTCTATATTTGTCTACTTAATTAGTTAGTTTTAATTAGCTGTTATATTACATATTCATTAATAGTGTATTAAATAATATAATATTGTAAATAGTATTGAAAAGGAGTATTTAATCAATTGGGCTCCCTGTGATCCTACCAACCGAGGAAAATTGGTACTAAGTGGCGAGGATAAGGTATATTTTGTTTTACAAAATATTTTGAAGGTGAAGATGAAAGAAATTTGACAAAAAAACAAAAGGAAAGCACCATGGATGTGGCCATGCAGATATACAGTGCGAAGCGTCTTCTTGTCTTGCGAGATTACAAGACGTCTTTAGAGAAGTGCGAGGAAGGACTTGAAGCGCTTCAAAATGAAGAAGAAGTTGAAAGAATCAGTGTTTTAGACGAAGAGGATGGTGTGGAGAAGGCTCGGATTGCATTTGGTGTTCTGGCTTTACAAGGACTTACGTTAGATGGAAGAGAAAATGAGATGGATGCATTTGCAGGAAAATGGTTTGGATGTAGTAGAAATTTTCCTTCTGAAATTTTACAGATCTGGTGAGTACATTAATGATTTCAATGGAACATATATATTAATTTGTCAGGTACAGCATGCTATAAATACTAGACATATTTTCATTCTCCCTTTTATCCGTCAGACAAGCCATGAATCAATCAATCTATTCAGGGCAATTATCCTTCCTTCCCTCCCTCCATCCATTTATTCAAGCATCAATCGATCCATTCTCTCACTCCATCCATCCCACTTTATTTATTCTTTTGTATCATCATGTATCAGCATCATCATTCTTAGGCATAATCATCATCATCATGTATCATCAGCATCATGTACTGTATCATCATCATCAATTATCATCATGTATCATCAGCATTCACCATGTATCTTCATATCATCATATCCTGTATCAGCATTATTACAACTTTATTTAAAACCCCACATAATTGTTTTCACTTTTTGCTGCAGTGCTTGCCATCACCTTCAAATGCAGGAGAGTCAATTAGCTCTAGATTTACTGGAAGAATGGTTGAGTGAAGAACGCAATCACAACAGCAGTGGTCTTAACAAAGTGGCTGAACTCTATGTTAGACATATCTTATTACCATTGAAGGAAATTGAGAAAGCTGAAACTTTCTTGGAAGAATTTAAAGCCATATCCAGTGAGAATAAGAAGGTATTAAATTTAAAATATTACAAATATTACAAAATCTGTATTAAAAAATTATAGATATTTCCAAAGTAGAGTGCAAACAATTAATCCGTGAAACACTAATTACTAAATAGTACAAAATAGTGCTAATTAAACAATAGAAAACAATGGAATTTGCATGAAATTGTGCTATTTAGTGTTACTAAAATTTGTTCCTGTATACTATGAATATAAGGTACTTTCGTATATGCATTTCAAAATTAAATGTGGCATGTAATAATTTTCTGGCTTGTTTACGCTTGTTTAATTATCATCATTACAGGAGCTCATAATGTACATTTCAAAGAAGAAAGAGGAATTAAGCCAACCAGTGACTGATGAATATGAGGTGAGACAGATATATCCAGCCTGAATTAAGAATCCTGGAAGCATGTGTTAAAGAATAGCCAATAATAATTCATGTCCACTGGGATTTTTTTGTTTTTGTTTTGTTTTTTCCAGTTCTGCATAAATCATAAATCCTAAGAAAATCATGGGATTGTTTCATTCAAAAGTTTAATTCCACAGAACATCACTAAGTCTTCTATGCAGTTGCTGTAAGAGTTAACACACAATGCTAATAGCAGCTGCATAGAAGACTAAGAGCAACACGGGATTAGAGTTGTAATTTGATATTAGAGTGTATGTGCTTCACAGTACAGTATTTTATAGAACGGTCTGAACCCAGGTGAATGAATGTTTATTGAAGTATTATGATCATCCGGGTGGATGTAATCCTGAGAAGGACTGTTTGATGTGACTGACGTTTTGACAACCTGAGTGGAAGTCATCTTCAGAGTCAAGTGAAGAATAAAGTCAGATTGGTCATATTTATACTGCCACAATAACAATAGATTTGCGTTATTAGCGGCATCGGTCTAATGGGTGCTTATTGCTGTTTCGGTGTTGTGGGCGGAGTTATTGTTTCTGATAAGCCTATTATACGGAGCCAGTAAGTTAACTGAGCGTTTCAGTGGATGATGCTCAAACTTGGTTTAACCAACTCTCCAGTATGAGTCGTTGCTGCCTATTGTTGCAAGTCTATCCCAGTCTATCGTATGACCAGTCTTGGTAATGTTCATCCTGTTTTTCAACAGCACTTAGATGTTCTTTAAGTCTGATATTAAATGATCTACCCATCTCACCAATATATGTTGCTTCACAACATATAAAACATGCCTTAAACTTCTAAAAGGTTTTTCAAAGGACTGTATACATGTGTCTACAGGTGACTCTGTGAATCGCTACAGGTTTTTTCGAATAATTTTCCTTCTTAACGATGCTACTGAGATAATTGTGTGTTGCTTGGATGTGACTAGAATGGATTGGTTGTGACTGTAATGGATTGCTAGTAACTGGGTCTCAGTCAGTGACTGGATCTTGAATCACCAAAAAATTATTTTTGAATTTTCATCTTTTGAAAGGCCATGAATAATCTTAATGTATAGCAAAAACATGCCCAACTTCTAAAACTTGTTTTCCTCTTCTAAATGCCCGAATTTTTAGTGTTTTTTGATTTTGGAAA